GGAGGTAATGTTGGAGTTGCACAGAGCATTGGTTAGGCCACGGCTGGAGTACTGTGTGCAGTTGTAGTCACCTCACTACAGGAAAGATGTGTTAGCACTAGAGGGAGGTACAGAGGAGGTTCACCAGGATGTTGCCTCAGATGGAGAAATTGAGCTATAAGGACAGACTAGATAGGCTTCGATTGTCTTATCCAGAGCAGCAAAGACTGAGGCGGTGGGGGGGGAGGCATGACTGATGTGTATAAGATTATGAGGAGTATGGACAGCGTGAATAGAAAGCAGCCATTCCCCTAGGTTGAGGCATCAAACATGAGGGGGCATAATTTTATGGTAAGGGGCAGGAAATTCAGAGGGGATTTGGGAAAACTTTTTAACTCAATTGCTGGTGGGAATCTGGAATGCTCTACCTGGGATGGTAGTGGAGGCTGGAAACCATACAATCTTTAAAAGATACTTGGATGATCAATTTGTATATCATAACATTCAAGGATATGGGACAAGTGCAGGAAATTGGGATTGGCGCACTTTTAGTAGTTGTTGTGTCGATGCAGACTCGATGGGCCAAAGGACCTTTTCTGTGCTGTGTGCATCTATAATATTTGTCAAATATATTCAGAAGAGAAGGTGCAGCTTCAAATGCTGTAGGGAAAATACTTCAAAACTGGCACATCACAATCCACAATTAGGAAGAACTTAGAGATTGCCAGGCTCAGGACCATCAGCAACTTACAAATGAGTAGCTCAGGTTAGAATGTGTGCTGTCTTATTCTCATTGAAGTCTAATCTTTTTAAATTAAATTATTTGATGTTGGAGATGAGAATTATATTTCAAGGAAGAGCAACAGAGCAAAAAGGGATCTGCTTTTCAAATAGGACAGTGAAAATTGAGTGGTTTGGAAAAGAGTGCTGCAAATCTCCACTTTTCAACAATGCTAACGTTTACATGATTTCTTACTGGAATAACATGTCACAAATGCTTCACAGGAGATCAATAAAACAAAATCGACACTAAGCCACTTAAGGTGATATTAGCACAAATGACAAAAAGCTTGGTCAAAGAGGTGGGTTTAAGGAGTAGCTGAAAGTAAGCGAGAGGTAGGAACATTAGGGAGGGATTTCCAGAGTTTAGAGTCTGCACAGCTGAATGCATGACCACCAATGATAGAACAGTGGGAATAGCTGGAAAAGCTCAGGTCTGGCAGCATCCATGGAAAGAAAACAGGGTCAATGGTTCAGGTCCAGTGACCCTTCTTCAGAAGAGCAAAGATTTGGATGACCTCAAGTTGGTGGACGGTGGAATGGGGGAGGCTTTTCAGGACTAGATTAGAATAGCCAAGAGTTGAAGTAACAAAGGCATGAATCAGCAGATCAGCTAAAACGGGCTATCTTGGGCAATTTGACAGTGATGGATATCAGTGGTCATAATGATGGTGCATATATGTGGGTGGAAGCCTATCTTTGAGTCAAATGTGATACCAAGTTTGCAAACAGTCTGTTTTAGTCTCAGACAGTTGCTAAGGAGAAAGAGGGTGGTTAGTTAGTAAACGGAGTCTGAATTGATGGACTGAAGATAATGGCTTCAGTGAGGAGTGATGACTCCAGGTTTAAAGGGGAGAGAGAGGCAGCACCTAATGAGAAAAAAAGTACACAATAATGGCCAACAGAGGGGGGCCAGGAAGTGAAAATTTCGAAAAGAAGCTTGGTACAATGCCTCAGTTTAGAGGTCTGAGCTAAAGTTTACATTGGCTCTGAAAAGCATGTGGTTTCCTGTAATGGACACTGAATATATTATCTTTAACTGTTGTGTTCTGCAGAAGCCTGGCAAGTGGTGTGCCATGCATGTCCACATAGCATGGCAGATATACCATCACCAGCAGAAGGTCAAGGTCAGTCTCTGTTCAAAATTCCATTCATGTTCTATTCATGCTGTCTCACCTTAAATGGTTATATGTTTGCAATTGTTATTAGGGACAAAGCTACAATGGTGACCTGAACAAGAAGTGATGGCACAAACCATTCAAGTGATGCACTATAAGGACCCACCTAATCAACAGGTTTCCATGATATATACAAACAAGTCAAGCAACTTAGGAAAACAGCTGAAGTCTTTTTTTATTCACTTATGGGACATGGGTATCGCTGGCTGGCCAGCATTTATTGCCCATCCCTAGTTTCTTAAGAGCTGAGTGCCTACCTAGATTTTTTTTTGAATGGAACCTCACTCATTTAAATTTCCTTGTTATAATGTTCACCAGTTCTTTGCAAGGTTTATTGTCACTTAGCCTGAGTCTTTTAGCACCTCAGTGGATGATGAATGTCATTCATTGGGAGCAGTATTCCAGGGTATTAGTCATTCTAGAAAGGTCCTAAGCACATTGTGTGATACCTGTCAGCTTTTTTTCCCCCACACAGTTCCCTAACCTTTTCTCATTTATCATCAAATTCTTCATTGTTTTATTTCCATGTTCTGCAACACCTCCAGGATCCAATCCAAATGATTTTTCAGACAGAATAAATCCAGATGAATTAGTATTGGACTACCCTGTTGCAGTCCACGATGGCCATGAGCTTAGAGCAGGAATTCCCATTTCTTTGTGTTAAACTTGTGTCTCACTCTTGAAGGTTCTCAGATTAATCAATTGGAAAAACCATACTTCCACGTTAAGGTGTCCTCTTCCAAGGTTCTGACATATCACAGAACTGAGTTAGATGGAGTTTTATATTGCATTGTAATCATTCTTTGGGTAGCTTTATTCATGTCTATAATAGGAAAAGCTCCATACACCAGAGCAGACACTAAGACATAGCAAGATCAAAGTGACTCGTTAAATAAAGACCCAAGCATTTCCATCATTGTAGTCAAATTAATACAATATTGATGGAATTGTTGACTAAACAAAACGATCAATTATATTATGACAGGTCCAGATATGAGACGAGAAAAAAGTTCAGTGATGTAAAGCTTTGGAAGCCATAGCCTCACATAAGCCATATCCCAGTCACTCCCACTGACCCACACCCATTCAATTCTCGTAGTTTACATCCCTAATATTTCTGTCAGTCCACATCCCATTCACTTGTTAGTGCACATCCCAATCACTCCTGTTTTTCTGCATCTCCATCATTCCTGATAGTCTACTTCTTAATTAGTTATATTGGTTTGCATTCCGATCTTTCCCAGTAGACCAAAATCCTGGTACCTGAGTCCCATCTTCACATGAAATTTTTAATTTCTATCATTGCTAATGTGAATTGTCTAAGATCGATGTTTAACTTGGCTGGATAAATTGTGAAAATTCTGAATAAACGGTGGGACTGTAGTTTACAATGTTTTTCTTGTGTTTCGGAATCACCACAACAGGTTTTATGGTGGAAAGTAGGGAGGATTTCCCTCCACCGCTTACTGCCAGTATGTGAGACCACCCTGCCCCCAGCAAGAAACTGCATCTCCCCACTCTGCACAGCAATAGACCCTGCCACCAAATGTAGAGAGTAGCTCTCAGGACTAAGCTCCTTTGTTCTGACTCTCCCTGCAGGAATAGACCACACTCTCCCATAACTCCAGAAACCCAGATAACAATTCTGATAATTCAAAATGTATTATTTCAAAGAGGAAATTTGAAAAGTTTGGATTAAGCAATGTAAACAACCTCGTACTATGTGCAGTTATTTTGAAAGAGTAATTATTGGATCGTTTTAATTAAGGTTGAATGCAGAGTCACCGCTGATTGGAACATACATTAGTTTGTCAAATAAGTCAGCATGATTTTGTAAATAAAACGGGAAAGCATTAGAAATTCTCAGCAGGTTTGGCAGTATCTGTAGGGAGATCACGATTCAGACTGTTGCCCATTTTCTCAGACTTTTACTAAAGGAGCACTGAATATGAGGTGGTGAGACATAAATTGACCAGGCTGTTTTTGATTTTGCACCTTACAGCAGCAGATGCAGTCTGATCCACACAAACTTGACTTTGGCCTGAAACCGGAGTTCCTAAGCCGGCCGCCAGGCCCCAGCATGTTTGGAGCTATCCATCATCCCCATGAGCTGGCTCGCCCAGCAACTCTCTTCTCCACAGCTGGTAAGGAATTGCACTTAATAATATGGTCATCCGCTCATCAGTGACTGAATGGCAGCAATCTTCTCCTAGCCTTATTGCCAGGAGGTCAAATTCGTGAATAGTTTGTCGTGTTGCCAGTTTTCCGTATCTTGCCTGTACAAATACCTATATCCACTAGATGGCACTATTCACATTCAGTACACCCACCAAACCCCCCACCCCCCCCCCCCCAGCCCCCACCCCCCAAACCAACAAAGTTAACCTGGTGCACAATCTACTTTTTTGCAGTGGAAAGTGAAAAGCAGTAAATTCCAACAACTACGTTTTCACAAAGTTCCGTGTGTTTTCTTAAATAAAGGATGTTTAAAAGCATTTATTTTCAGCAAAGTCTGTGTTAGTAGATTTGAACAGTCACACTGTCGACTTGTTATAAATTGGGTTCAGAGTTCAGAATATCAGTAAGTTCCTGAGGGAAAATTTCTCTATTATTTTATAACAAGGACTGCTTCTAATGCGCTCATGGGCTGGTAAAGTGCTTTAAGACGTGCTGAGGTCGTGAAAGATGCTAGAGCAACGCAAGTTCATCCATTGATCAAGAGGGAATAGAGTCCAGACGGCATATCTAATTGGCTTGCTTCTCCCCTGGGGTTCTCATACTTTCATAGCCTTTCTGTGCGTATTGTCACATTTCTCACAGTAGGTCTCAGTCCACACTGGAACCTACCTGACTAACCAAATCACACTTTAATTACACTCTCCCTCATTAGAAGCTCGATATTACTGGAGGGATCTTTGTCTTTCTGCTTTGCCTATTTCTTTGCCTGTTCCTTCCTCTTTCCTTGTCTCTCACTCATTCTTGCTCAGTCATCTCTCCATATTTCTTTATTTATTTCTTATTACATGTCTCCTCTTTTTTATTATTCATTAATGGGATGAGGGCGTTGCTGGCTAGTCAGCATTTATTGCCCATCCCTAATTGCCCAGAGGCTAGTTAAGAGTCAACACATTGCTGTGGGTCTGGAGTCGCATGTAGGCCAGACCAGGTATGGATGGCAGTTTCCTTCACCTGAAGGACATCAGTGAGTCAGGTGGGCTTTTCCGACAATTGACAATGGATTCACGGTCATCATTAGAGTCATAATTCAACACTTTTTCTAATTGAATTCAAATTCCATCATTGGCAATGGCAGGTTCGAAGCCGGGTCCCCAGAACATTACCTGGGTCTCTAGGTTAACAGTCCAGCAATAATATGACTAGGTTGTCACCTCCCCTATCTCTACCCTTTCGAACTTGTCTCTGTTTCTCTGCATTTCTATTTTTGCCTCTGTCGATTGCCCCCACCCCAGTCCAATTTATTTGTGCTTCACTTACTCAGTCTGAATCTCAGATTAAATTTGTTACTGACTGTACTTAGAAAAACTTTTAAACATTGTCTTATTTTTAACAGATCACACACATATTTCATTTTTGAAGGTGGCATTCTCCACTAACCTGCATCAGTCATTGGGATTAGAAACCTTCAAAATGAAAGCATAACCAATCCAGACTTCATTAATATTATGATGAATCTCGTTGATACCTTTTAAGATGCAAAAACAAGTGTATTACCTCATGAAATAGCTTGGCGAACCAAATGCTGGATGGATGCAGGTCATGGTGAACAGTTTTGTGTGAATGCTTCTTTGAAGAAAACTGTCTTCTCTGTCTCTTTGCAGGTACCACACATCCCAGTGGAAACCCTTTCGGACCTCCGCCTCATCACAACAGCTTCTTGAGTCCAGCTTCTCACTTAGGTAATCATGGGCTGGCTGGTGTTTGGGAAAGAATTGGGAAAACAGTTCGCAGACTGAAACAACTGCCGACAAGTTAGCATGTACAGTACAGTCTACTCCACTTAAGCGTACACTCATGGAAACAGGTCCAAATTTGGCCCGGTTGGTTACAGCTGCATGATGATAATTCAGCATTTAATGGCAAAATTCAGTGGAAAGTATGCTTCCTTTCAGGGCACAATTTTCCTTCTTCTAAGTGTGCGCGGGTGTGCCTGTAAGGTGATGACCAACATGCAGCCCCACCTACCCTATCACCCACCCATCAGCCCGTTAGGGGTGACAGGCAGGCAAAGGACATCACAGGCTGCCCACCAGTAAATAGCTGGCAGCCTGTGAGCCACAATGTCTGCTGGTTGAGGCCAACTCCTCAGGGGATCCAAAAACAAGAAGGTCGATCTATCTCCTCCTCTTCCTGGAAGTCATTTGCAGGATGTGTGTGTTCAGGACAGTTGGATTTACAAGACCTTGCTTTCCCACCCGCAGCCCCTCACCCATGCACCCCGCCCACATCCCCTGTAATTGGAGTATTTAGGGAATTGGCATCCTGTTCCCTAACTGGGCAGACAGGTTGCCACGGTTTCCCAGTCAGAGAAAGGAGCCACCTTCCTCTCGCATGGTCAAGGAGGTAGCAGGTTAAAGTCCCTTAGTTGACCATTAATTGACCTTAATCACTGGCAAATTAAGAAAGTCCCCCAGCGGGTAATTGTGGTGAGAATGAGGTGAGTTTCTCTAAAGGGCAAACCCCACCCATTATTTCCGTTTCTCATCAGCTCCGGAGATGGTAAAACCACACCCAGCGTCCTTGTCATGCTTATCAATGGACATGTAGCCCTTGAGCTATTTAAGTTGCCTTACACTGTAATGCCATTGCAAATAGAATATGGCATTTCAGAAAACGTCTCTTCTTTTTGCAGCGGTGTACTTTAGACTTGTCCTACTCACGATAGTCATATAAATAGTTATTTACAATTGGTCACCTAGGCGCAAAATGTGAGTGATTCCAGCAATTTGTGTTTGCGCGTTTCGATGCGTTGTGTCAGAAAAATGGTAGCATTCAAGGTTGTAGAAATGTTGCTAAGAATTGTGTGTTTGTGATCATGGGCTGCAGTGCCACAAAGTGCCAGATGGTGGTGGTGTTGGGAACATTTAATTCCACAAACTTGGCAACCTCAACAGCTGTTGTGTCCCAAAACACAAAATTGAAAAGCGGAAGGGAAAATCTAACAGGATGGTGAATTTTTTTTTGATTCAAAGCATTCCTCCTTTTTAAATCAGAAAACAATAGCTGGCACCTTTAGGAAACAAATTGTTGTTGGAATGGAAAGACTGCTGAGGTGGTTTTTTAAGTCTGTGGTGGGCTGCTCCACTGACATTAATTATAGGGAGCATTGCCTTGCATCCCAATGGGAGAACCATTACAATTGGCACTGGGTGCCATTTCAGGCGAGTCTGAGCGCTGTTCTGAAACCAAGGTCAGAAAATACTTCGGAATAAGGTTCCCACTTCAGGTTGGCTGCAATCCTGGAGTTTCAATGCATGGCTCACTCCCTCTTATCAAAGCCCAGCACCTTTCTGTGCCAGTTGAGATGCCAACAACTTGCATCACCAGGTTGAATGATTCCTGATGTCAGATGAACACATTTCTTTCCCAGCTCCAAAATGTTACAGTGACTATACAAGGAATCTTCATTCTCTTTTTGATTTCCTCCCAATTTGCTCCCAGCAGTGAGGAGGAGACGCTAATTAATTAAACAAATCTGCCGTGACAAGAAAATTGAGGTTTTCAAATGTTTCAGAGAGAATATGCTTTTTACAAACAGTGGTAATGTCACTGAAATGCTCGCTGGGTGGCAGTGCTGAGCTTGGAGAAGTTACTTCTCAACTGTTTCTGTGGCCAACCTGGTTGTGACTCTGTCTAATGCACCCCACCCACATGTGCAGGATGGGAATGTGGCTTTTAAGCTGGCACCCAGCCCCGGTGTGCTGTAAATGAAAGCTAGTGAGGCCACCAGAGCCAAAGCAATACACTGGGGAGGAGTGCTTGAGATTAGCTTTCCAAGTGCTGACTGTGTTTTGGAATTTTGCATGCATCTGTTTTTGACCTTCTATTTTAGTCATACTTCAGTACTTGTTTGTAATTTGCCCAAATCTGATCTCCTTTCAAGGGTTGTCCTTCGTATAGCCAATATCAACATTTTCTTTTTAATTCTGTGGGAAAAGGCGGTTTTTTTTAAAATTGTGCTGAAAATAAGCTGACCATACTTGACAGTGAAGTGTTAAAATTAAAGCCCATCAGCTTTTCAGAGATAATGTCCTTAAGATAAATTGTAGTTTGCAGCCGTTCAAAAGCGCATCAATATCTGCACAGCCTTTGCAGTATGGGCTACATTTCACTAATGGCATAATGTTACTGGTGTAACTGCACAGATAGATCATAGTGGCTATTCTTAATAGCAGTATCCTCCTCCATTGGGAACAAACATGCTGTGATTTCTGAGCAGCAGCACTGCCACTTGCTTTGTAGTTCTGCAATTTCTTTTTAAGTTTTCTTTCCAAATCATGGAATTTCATTGGCACGGATATAACCAGCTATAATCAAACAAGGGCCTGGTTAAACTGATTTATTGGCTTAGAAATTTGAGGTATAACACGAGCACCAAGGCATCCAAATGCTGAGCGACTCGTGCACTTTTAGCCTTAAGTCCCTCATCCACAATATCCATGCAAGTATCAGAAGAGGCATCTAGGATACACGCCATGACGTTAGTTCCTTTAATGTGCAAAGAGGTGAGCATAACCCCTGTTTTCAGCTTGTTCCACCAAGCTGGTTGGCAGCTTTTAGCAGAAGAGCCAGGTCCACGTGTGCCCTATCTAGCAGTTGTATTTTGAAATTAATTTTCAATGCCCTCCTGTTTGATGCAATGCCTCAGGAATAAGCCTTGTCTCACGTCAATGTGTACGCACTCCAATTGTTCCCCACTGTTGAATCAGAAGCAGGGCTTTGGACAAACTTATACCTGGAGACTTCTCTTTTCAAATGTATGAAGTTAATGTGTCTTAAATAGAATTTGGATAAAAAGAATCCAGGAACTTTTGGTGAGGTGGCTCTACTAACCAATACTTGTCTGTAATTCTATTTGAAAATAAATTGAACTATGTTGAAAAGGCCATATCAACATGATGGACAAATAAAGATGGACCATGTAACCTTTCTGATCAGTGATTATCTTGTATCCTTGTGGAGGATAGTTGGTTGGAGATCACAGGTGGAGGAACAGCTCATCCATATTATACCTACTAGGTGGTGTATTTACATCATAGCTGTGTTAATAGAAAGAGAGAGAATGAATTGAGTACCGCTAACAGTAATAATTGAATAAGATTGCTGGAATACCTGGTCTGGTGGAAGTGAATTATTACAAAAAATAGGAAATTCATGAAGGATGATTGAGTGCAACCCAATACTCAACACAATAAGAAGCTTGGCATTTCCCACACAGGGGAAAGATTACAAGGAAAAGTAACTCCCAGCAGCTCAATCGGGCATCCACAGGAGTGGAATTCTCAGGCCTGAGGCAAATATTGGCTAATCTTATTAGTTTGCTGGGAATGATGTACAATGAATTCTAAAGAGAGAGAGAGAGCAAACAAAGAGTTTTAGTGAGGAGGGGAGAAACGTGAAGAAAGGAATTGAAGCAGCTGAAAAGGAAAATGGAAAGCTAAAAAAGAAACCTGAGTGAAACACAACAGCGCTGTGGTGTCTAATAAATTGACGAAGCATCATTTTCAACATACACGATGATGAATTAGCGGCATCTGACTGGGAAATATGCCTTCCACTTTTGTGTACAACCTGAACTTTCAGTTTTCAAGAAGTCATTTCCTGTGTGGTCGAGGTGGAATGGCTTAATTTCCCACTTACACACTTATCTGATTATTGCAGTAGGAAGGCATTGAGTGTTGTAGGGATATCTGAAAGACTAGTCTGAGCCCCCTCCCCTGAGATTTTTAATTGCTTGTTCATGGTTTGTCAAGTGAGGTATTGAAACTCAGTCCTAAAATCTAATGTAAAATTCAACTCCATTCTGCTGATAGTTTTAGGGTCACATGTTTGATATTAAAATAAAGTCAGTCTGAAATCACAACTGAGCCAGATTTTTTCGAATAGAATAGAGTCAAATTTAGAACCTTGGCTATAGGATGCAATCCAGATCCAGTCAAGGTCACAGGTCACAAATAACTACCAAATAAGGCACTTTTCGTGGATGTGAGATTGGATACATCCAACTGTTCACCAATGGGAAAGAGGTGAAATGTTCAATATTTTACAGTTTCAGAGCAAAATGTCTGTTTTAAAAATATGTTTTTTACAGTTGTACATTCTCCTCAGACGTTTTCACATTTTTTAATGACATTTCTTCCCAGCATGCTATATATGTTTAGCCCCTGACCAAAAAATATTCTTGGAATTACTCCAGAGCTTCACTGAGAACATTTGAGACAGCTGTTTGAAGCAAGAAACTAATTTTTCCTTGTCTTCAACAACAACTTACCTTTATATAGCAAATTTGACAGAGCAAAATGCCTCAAGATGTTCAACAACAGCAATATCACCAAAAAAAACGTAGGCAGAAAAGACATTGTCAAGACTGATGACCAAACGTTTTATTGAAGAACTAGGTTTTAAGGCCTGGCTGAAAGGAGGAGAGAGAAGTAAAGAGCTGGAGTTATTTCAATGGTTAATGCGAAAGCAGGCATATTTCAAGGATTGGAGAAACCTGAAAGGCTTGTTGAACCAAAGAGTGTTACAAAAATGGGAAAGGATTTCAACAAGGGTATGGATTTTATAATTGACATATTGCTGAACAGGGAGCCTTTGTAGGTCAGCTAGCAGAGGGTTGAGTGTCGGGGGAATGGCGGTTGGCGTGAGTTAAGATTTGGGCAGTTGTATTCGATGAGCACAAGTTTATGCATGGTGCCAATTTGGAGGTCAGGTGGGAGAGCATTGGCATAGTCAAGTTCAGAATTTGCAGATAGGGATGAGGGTTTCAGCAGCAAAAGAGCTGAGACAGGGTCAAAACTGATTGATACAGACATAGGAATAGGCACCCCTGGTGATTGAGTAAGCAGCTGATGGTCAGTTTATCATGGGGCCAAGCATTTTTGGATATATTTCTAATCGACCTGTTATAAGGGAGCAGGTGGAACTTGAACTTGTGTCAAAAAAAAACAAAGAAATGCAGACGCTGGAAGTCAGAAACGAAAACAGAAATTCCTGAGAAAACTCAGCAGGTCTGGTGGCCTCTGTGGAGAGAAAGCAGAGTTAACGTTTCCAGTCCAGTCACCCTTCTTCAGAAACATATGGGTTGTGAATTGTCCAGCTCAACTTCAACATCTCGCTGCCCAGGGTGGAAATAGTGGCTCGGCAATGGAGTTTGGGAAAGGGACCAATGACAAATTCAGTGGTACCTGAGAAGAGTTGCAGAGATCACCATAATTAGTTACCCCACACCACAGGATGTACTGTTTATGCCTGCTCATTCCAATGTGTTTAGTACTCGGGAAAGATTAAAGGAACCCTTGACTGACTGGACATCAATAAGAGGCCAGCAGGAAGAACACCACTTAGCCTGTTCAAGCTATCCAGCATCTCTTAGATAGGGACAGCAGCAACGAAGTATAAATCTACTGATCCCTTTTATAAAGTCAGCAGTCCTCCTCCCAAAACTGCCACCTGTCAGTACTGTTACTGTTGTCGATCAGCCAGCCAGCCCATGCAGAGCCCTGTTAACATGTTCAAACCGAGTGTCAGGCCCTTTCCTGAGGAATTATTTTCCAAAACCACCAGCAGTCTCTTTCATTGGAAGTCAGCAGCAAGTGAGGTTGTGTTGGGCAGGAGCACTTCGCTAGGTAAAGGCACAGGGAAGGCAGACCCAATAATGGGAATGCGTTAGGGCAGATGTCTCACATTGTTCCACACTGACTTTCAAGTTGCTGTTGGAAAAACCATGTTCAGATAAGGCCTCTGGATGAGAGCCCTTGTCTCCACCTTCTTCTTCCTCCCTCTTTCAATAGCATCGCCCACTCTGCGTGTAGACTGTTCACTCTCCAAATCACGCTGCTTGCTACTGAACCCATGTATGGGAGCAGCCGGTTTGCAAAAGCCTTGCAAATCAGTAAAAACCCATTCTGCAGCTTTGCTCCCTGGAGATATTGGCAACTACACAAAGCACCAAATACCTGTGGTATTGAGTCACAACCCAGAAAGGGATCTACCAGCAACTAACCCGTAAGAAGCAGATAGCATTAAGTAACATTGCTGTTGTGAAAGGGTGTCTTTCCTGCTGCTGAACCCGAGTGCAGCTGTATTAAACTAAGAAAGATCATTAACTGGAGTGTTGACTTAGGGTTCATGTGGCACTGTGGGAGCATCCCTATCTGTGAATTAGGAGACCTCTGTTCAATTCCCATCTGCTCCAGAGATGTGTAAGAATATCTCTGGATGTTTTGATTTGAAAATGTCCAACTGAGTGCATGCAATTTTGCTCCCACATGGAGCAGTTGAAGCAAATGGAATTTGTGCATTTAAATGAAAGTTAGATTGTGCACGTGAGAGAGCGGAATAGAACAGTATGATGAAGTAGGGTGGGAAAAGGTTCCTGTGAAACATGTTTCCGTTCTGGAAACAGCTATACAATTCTGTGGATGCAATGGCTGTCTTACAACTATTCCAGATGACAGGATACTCCAAGGTGCAACATTGTGTACACAGCAACATTAGCTTGCTCTACATAGTTCAAGCAGCTATTCTCTGCATGCACTAATGCCCTCATCAACATGATGCCCAGGGTGATTCACCCCATAAATTCCATATTAAAGCTCTAAGGATGCTCATAGCACCCAGCCAACCCTATTTTCTCACTCAGTGGCTTTAATCTTTCCATATTTGGTTGGAGGAAATGTCTGCTTATCTAATTTTGGATGTCAGAGATGGTGGAAGGATTTGGAGAGATGGTACCTCAAAAATCAACCTTCAATATTTTTTCTGTTTCTGTGGGGTGATGATGAGTTTTAGCTCACTACTGCCCACTTCCCCAATTCCCTAACAGTTTGTCTGGGGTTGGGTTTCCATGGCCTAAGTCAATGAACACAAGCTCACACCATTTCTCCTCATTGATAATTAAGTGGATTAATTTTCTGATGATTGGTACAAGTGACGAAGACGTTGGAACAGAAATTGTACTTGGTCAGAACACACCCTATAGTAATTTCCAGACGAGTGGCACCGAGGGTGCAAAAGATCCCACATGAATAGCTGGGAACTTCATTGGAACAGAATTGAATTTAAATTTCCCATATTTACCAGGATTTCTCGGTAGAACTATGCCACTGGAGAGTGCATTTCACAAGAGAAGCAGTGATGATGCCATTCCAGGTGGTGCCAACTGATGGTTGGTCAAACTGCACCATAAGCATGGCACTGCCAACAGCTGTTGGGTACATATAACAACTGTTAGTTTTTACATCTTGGATATTTTACAGGCTGCAACTTTGGAGTCATCATAAAATTCAGCAAGTGATGCACCAGGCAGCTTATGAGTCACTTGCAAGAATAAACTACTTCAACTTGTTCTCCATGGTAACCGACCACAACAACACAATGAGTGAACGAGCGGAAACTCTGTTCTTTGGATAAGAGACTGAGAGTTGACCTGATAGTAGTCTGTAAAATTATGAAAGAATTCTGTAGGGTAGATATTGCAAAGCCCCTTCCGCTTGTGGTATAATTGCAAACCAAGGGCCATAAATATAAGTGACATAATAGGTCCAATAAGATAAGCAGGGAAATATTTCCTTAGAGATAGCAGTGCATGCAATTTTGCTCCCACATGGTGCAGTTGAAGCAAATGGAATTTGTGGATTTAAATGAAAGTTAGATTGTGCACGTGAGAGAGCGCAATAGAACAGTATGACGAAGTAGGGTGGGAAAAGGTTCCTTTGAAACATGTTTCCATTCTGGAAACAGCTGTACAATTCTGTGGATGCAATGGCTGTCTTACAACTATTCCAGATGACAGGATACTCCAGAGCCCAACAGGATCTTGTCAACAATTTCACTATCTTGTTGAACACACATGGGCAATGAATATGCAGCTTGTTTCTGACTATCAGATACAGCATAATGCAGCCTTCTGTGTTTGAGTCAGGAAGAGGAGTGTAAGATTGACTGTTATGCTTCGACCCCATAGTTCACAGCTGCTCTTGGGCAACCAGGAGCACGTGATGGCTAGGAATATGAAGATTCAAGCGTAATTTACTCGATGTCCTGATAAAGGTCTGACTTGTCCTCAGATCCTATCAAGCAAAGGCCTTCCATTTCATCATTGCTACATACTTTGCCACAGTGCGAAGCAATAAAGAACAAGAACAACCAGCCAGTGGCTGACCACTATGTACAGGAACTGGCTAAACAACACCTGTATAAGCACCTTTGTGGACAGTTAGCACAATACACAAGGCCCTGTTGCAGGTCAAGTCTTTGTATATCCCAGTCACCCAGTGCATCTCTACATTGTGTTCACACTAGAGAGTATACCCTCTCCTCTATTACCAGTTGCAGCAAAGAAACTCTCATGGGTTTTATTGCTTTCTGCTGTTGACCCATTCATCAACATTGTGCTAAGAACATTCCAGTTCCAACAGTGACAAAAATGTTTAAAAAAATGTTTTCATCAGTCTCTGGATATCTTAGGTACAGCAATGTCATGTGACTTACTTCTGTGTTGTGGGAAATAAAGTTAAACTACAGCATTATTTTGATCAATTTATAATGAGGAATGGGGGATGTGGATATGTAAGTGAATGGCAGAGGGATTCAGCAGATATCTGTTGGAATTGGCAAGTGATAGAGGAAATTTGCATGTAGTAATGTTTCATTGTAAATTTAGCAAAAATCCATTACATTTCCTCAGAAGAATTTCCAAATTTCCTCAGAAGAAGTGCATTCATACAGCAAAAATATACCACAAAATTCAAGATCACACAATCTTCTACCATCCTATTTAGCAGTATTGTTCCCATGACAGTGTCTCGATGCCTACAACAGCTACTAAGGTACCTCTGTCCTCTGGAAATCCAGATCACATTTGTGTCAGTTCCTTTCAGAGTGGTCCAGTATACCATTTGCTTTTCATCATAAGTGCTGATGATTATTGTATCATATCAAGCAAGGTGGTTAGGGCAGCTTCTGAAGGTCAAAGACCTAACAGAATTTGTCTGCTTCATAAACCAGTTCAATCTCCTTTAGCATCACCATTTATTCCAAATTGGTTTCCTTGGACTTATTGAATCCGTTTCGTGTCACTGCAAACATTGATGACATCGGTGGGAGGAGCCCTTGAATGTGTCTGGACGGGGTGGGGTGGGAAGGGCTCCTACTAGATCAGAGGAAATTAGAATCAGGTTGGTGGTTTATGCACAGTAGAAACCTTTCCACACAATAAGGGAGCTCTTTCTAATGAAGGAATCACTATGCTTTTGGGCTGGTGACTGGAATTTCATGATGCGTCAATCTCCTCTCCAGCGAACATCCTGTGTTGTGGATGTATCCACTATTTAACTTGTTATTTCTAAATATGGAGGAGACAGAAAATAGAGATGCTAATTCAAATTCTGTGAAATGATTCATGCTTTTGGGATGTGTAAATGGTGAAATGTCCCCTTTAATTGCAGCTTGAACAAAGTCTCATCTCTATCTCAACTTGACATCACTATTACTGATATACTCCTGACTGTGGGTGGCCATTCCAACTTCCTGTTAGATAAGTTTAGTTAAGTTGAAGGATTAATTTTAATTGCAGTTAGAAACATTTTTTTAAAATTAAATGATTTTGATCGAAGGAGTAACTGGTGGACACGTATTGGTTTGTATTTTTTAGAGCCCTTTAATAGACCAAGTGGTTTGAGTGGTCTGAGATCCTTAAGTAACAGCGCCTTTGGTGGACTGGGGAACCCTTCAATCAGTGAGTATTTCTGTCCTTTCAGTTCTTTGTATGACTTTCTCATGTTTTACGTTGAGAAGTGATACTTTGGCTGAGACTTGAGCAATACTAAGTCAGTACTGAGAGTTATAGCACAGCCAGGATTGTTTAGCCATAAAGCAAAGCCAACACCGTGCTGGTGTACTAAAAGTGAGATAAGTGTATGCTCTTGACCTTGTCATTAGACTAGATTGCATCTGTGTGGATCACACCCGTTACAAGCTAGGTGTGCCACATCTATACATTGTACCATTCTGTATACCTGTGTTTCACACCTGCATGCACTATGCAGTCTGTGCATGTGCCACATCTGTGTATATTATCCCATCTATTCCTAACCTGGGTAGATCTTTCCTAGGATCATACCTGTATATACTGCACCTATCTGTGCATATTACACCTGTTGGTTGCAGCTTTCTTCACTACTGTTGTATGTTGTTGTTGTGTAGTATATCTTTGTCACGTACAATCTGTGAATATTTGTATTATGCTTGTGCATACGACGTCAATGCTATACTTGTATGCTACTTATATAGAAAGTATTTGTGTATGTTGGTGTCAATACTGTGTATGTCATGTCTGAATTCATTGCATCTATCTTTAGCTGACCTCTCTGAACACAGTATCCCTTTTCCTGTTCTTTTGTATCATCCTTGAATGAGAAATGTTTTAGAAAATCTGCGTTAAAGTATTACACCGAATATTGGATTGTATCTGTCTCCATGAATGCAGGCTACATTGCCAGGCCTTGTCCACGGCATCATGCATCCTATTCAAGCCAAACATTGAATGACAGCAGATGTTTGGACCCATTACACTGTGGGTCACTTCCACAAGAGGGTGTGCATTTTCAAAATCAAAAGAGGAGCTCAAATATTTTAAGTTAAAGCAGATTAAGTTTCCGATAACTCTGACTTCACTACAGAAACTCTGACACAAATGAAGGTCCCTGAGCTCCTAAACTGTCTCTGAGTTTCCAGTCTCCTTTCACTCTTTATCCTTCTCCTTGTACTTAGCGGTATATTCACAATCACTTTCCCCAGAGCAGTACCTCATTCTATTGGCGATAGTGTACGTTGGCAGTTCTTTTACTGGATTCTTGTTCCATGTTTTTTTTTATTTTGATAAATTCAACTTTATATTGTGTTTCGGATGTGCACTATTATGGATTTCTTGCAATTATCAACCCTTGTTTTCCTTTACCTTCACTTGTTTCGATAGGTTGCCATTCCATGTTGTAATTTTGGGAATGTCTGGAAGATCCCATGATGAGTGGACTCCATTCATGTATCCATGAGTTTATAGAGGATTCAAACTGAGCATTTATGGTTCGCAATTATAATAGAGACACACTCAAAGGACTGTGCTGAGTCACATTGTGCGTTTCTCGGATTGGTGGAGTTTGAGCTCATATTTATGTCGCTGACTCCACATACACTGCCCTGATCTGAATTATCCCATGTTACAAACCCTCCTATACTCGAGTTCTGTAATTTACGAACATTTCTTGTACTTCTTGAGAGAAATGTCAATGTATAGTTAGATGTGCTGATGGAATATGCGATATTAAAAGAACTTCAAAACACATAGTGGTATGAATGAATTATTCTGTTGATAATGCTGGGTTGTCTTATATGATAGGATAGGACTGCTGTCTGCTTATATGATAGGATAGG